TTAGGCCCTCTCTGTGTATTGCTACTGGGAGGTATTTATAGACAGAAGTCACCCGGAAAAAAACAAACAAACAAACAAAAAACAATGCTACCAGTTCTAGACCACCAATGCATGTGGGAACCAGTATTTTACTTCCAAATACACTCCATCAGGCATTTATAAAAGCATCCATCAACATGGCAGCCAGCCACAGATATAAACTTCAAAACAATGCATACATTTTTGGGACACCAATTAAGCAAAAGTCATCCAGGTAGAGATGCATAAGCAGTATAATTGTTTTGCCCATCAGTATACTTATTTATGGTCCCTATCATCCATTATGGAAAGCTGAACAGCACTAGAGTTGATCAATAATTAATAGTGGCAAGAACAGAAGGCAGCTTATTGTAAAGTATTATTAAAACCTTTGAAATACAGAAATTATTTGAATTGTTCTTCTTAATTCCTAAATGCTGAATAAGATTAATTGATAACTGAAATAAAAAAGTCTGGAAAACAGACAGAAAATGGATTTTTCCCCTCATAATGAATCCCTGCATTATCCAAAAGAATGTTGCCTCATTACATGTAGCAGAAACTTGAGAAAATACAAGAAGGTAGAAAATTACATGTCTACAGTACAGTTTCAGAATAAGAACAATTCCATAATAATGAAGGCTAGAACAGCTGTGGTTTTGCCATTATTTAAAATGGCATTAGCTTTGATCTCAGTAAGACAGACATTTGTTTTAAAATGTACCTTGTTTTTTCTCTGAGTATCTACATTTGTGCTTCAATTATCTTTATTCTAATTATTTGTTCATTAGTGTTTTCTATGGGGCAACTAGTATGTTAGATCAATGCAACAAAATACTAACGAAAGGTCACATCCATCTTTTCAGCAGTACATTTTCTGGCCTTTTCTGGGTATAAAACATAGCAGTAACACATATATTATTATACCACCAGCAGCTGTAACATACCTTATTTATGTAGATTAATAGAATTTATTTCATGCATGTTATCTTGCATAAGTTAGTTTTAATGAACTGATGGATCAATTAGTGTTCCCTATTAATAATTAACTGTCTATACACAGACTATATCAAATTCTAAAAATAAGCAACTGATATTAAAATTACACGTTAAATATGTCAGCAATCTCAATAGTGTGTTTGAAAATAAACCAAGTCATCATTGGGCTGGCTATACTCTAGGTCAATGGAGTGGGATTGCTGGTTGCTGAGGAATCTGGGTTCTAATTTTCCATAAGTTTATACTTTTTCTTTCCACATCATTTTTTAAAATTTAAATAAAGGTGAAATGTTCTTGTTCTGGATTTTGTTATCAAGGTTACAACCTAAATGGGAATTTCGCCTGAGAAAAGAATTCAGGACTGAAGCAACTACCTAGATTAAAAATAAGATCAATAGAATGAAAATGGATAGTGAAAAAAAGTGTTCATAATTATTTATTACTAACCTGGTATGGGCTGAGGTGTTAACACCACTGTGGGAAGAGGCCTTGAGGCAGTAGCTGGCCTAGATATAGCCATAGCTACTTGATTTGTCATTAAAAGAGGCTTCTCATGTCCCTGGAAGATTCTTGATTCCTCAGGATGTATCCATGCTGAATCCAGAGCAAATGCGTTATTTAAATATATCTGCCAAGGATAAATAAAAAGTATGTTGAAGTTGAAGATAATATAGTTTCATTGCTTATTGTTTTCCTGTTTTTTAGGTCTTTGATTCAAGCTCTCATAGCTATATACATGTTTGTACCATAGATCATGTCCTAAATCATGAACAGTCATAAAACTGGATTGATTTATGCTTCCTAACTATTGGGAGGGCGTGGTTATCTAACAAATCTCATAAGGGGACTATCCAGTTTAGGAAGTACTACCAATAAATAAATAAATAAAAATCCAAACCCCACAATATGAAAGAACAAGGCCAATCCTATCCCAGAGACAGCTATGGCAGAACAAATGTATCTACAACATTTGGTAGCCCAAGGTTGTTCCAGTGAGGGCTGAGAGATGGAGGAGGTGAAAAAAGATAAGACCATCCTATAGTTACTCATATGCTTAAATTTACATACATGCCTAGCTGTTTGCAGGATCAAGACCTGAGACTGCAAATACTGCATGAAATCCTGGCTCCACTGAAGTTGATGGCAAAACTCCCATTGACTTCAGCTTTGCTAGGATTCCAGCTGCTGAGTCCATTTCTAACACATTTATATAAACATGCAGTCGATAGCAAGGTGTTGCCAGTAGCCAAAATATGGAAAATACACCAAAACCACATATTTTGGTGGTACAAACATATTTTACCTGACTTAATATAGAACTAATGTTACAGCTATTTTAGTCCTTTTCACTATTTAAGAGAACTGCTGATTTATACCTTCAGAAATAGACTATTTATTGATCAACATTTTATAGCATTAATTTTTCTATAGGATTTTTGCTTGACCTAGATTGCTGACCTTCTGCATGCCTTCACAGTTTACAAAACTCAATGTTTTCCAGTTGTTATGATAAGATCTTAATATAAAAATGTCCCAAGTAAAGTTCAGAGTTACCTTGCAATTAGGTAGTCTCTTGTCTCTCCAACTTTTCCTGGCATGAGGTGGAATAGTAGATGTGTATACATGTGGGAAGATGGGAACAAATTCCACACTAGAAGAAGGTGAAAATCCTATAACTGGAGAATGAGCTCCAAACATCCACTTAAAAAAAAAGAATGAAAAATATTCTGCAGTAAATCAATGTCTGTACATGCTGTATTAAAAAAGTGAATTTCAAGCAAATTTAATGTATCAACCTCTTTAGTCTAAACATTGGGTTTTTAAATATACATATATTGTATCAGTCTCATATGTATTGTGTGCCACTCAAAGCTAAACTGCTATAGAAATCTACAAATAGAAGGCTCAGAGTTAGAGTACCTAGTCAATACTATTACTAATCAGCAATGAACTGGAAAGAAAAGTCACATATAAATAGAAAACATCATCATACAAGATTGTGTATGTGTTTCTGTCTCCAGAGGCAATGGACAAAACAAAGACAAGGCAGAATGTGTGATTTCCTGACTCTTGAATTCTTTGGACAAATATATTGATATTGTAGAAACATTTCTGCATTTCAATCAAATTCCTCCCACTTCAAAATAATTAATGTTATCCTTCCATTAAACACAAGAGCAATATAGCTTTTTCTCCTGCTCACCCTCTTTCCAAATCACTAAGTTCCAAGAGGCATTCACAGCTAAAATGCTTGACTGGGAATCTCTAAATGAAATTAATCTAAGATTATAGAGTTCAAAGTTTTATGTGAAACAGCATTAAAAATACAACAGAAGTGCTAAACTCCTATGAAATTAGCTATTAATATCTAATACATTAAAACTTAAGATGAATATTAAAGCTGGCCAGCAAAAGTAATTTTAAGTGGCCTTACAATAATTGAAACATTCATCAAAAAGCACCACCGAGATGTATTGCTTACATTAATATGGTTCAAAATATCTTAGCGTCTGAATTTACTGGCTTATATTGTTAGAGTGCCCTTCATTACCAGCCTGCTTTTTCCATAGAAAATAGGAAAAGATCAGAGGGTTAAAGGATGAACAAGACAAGCCTTAATGAGCCAATTCATGAGCCGCTCCGCACCCCCTTCTTTTATTAAGAAAAAATATTGCAGGTTTCTAAACATTAAGGAAAAAAATCTAGTTCCTAGACATTAAATACCTCTAGTGGCAGCATCCTGACACAACAACATAAAAATATGTTGCAACGGCATCCAGTTATATATTTTTTTTATAATTTATATTATGCATATGGAAAAGCCTTATGGGACATTCACAAATATTATAAAAATAGGACTGTTCAGGTGATCGTTGCCTTCTCTCTTCTAGTAGGGCAATATTAAAAATGGCAAGGCAACTTTGTTTTAAAGCAAGGAGAGACAGGCTTAAGTTACTTGGCTGAATAAAAGACCCTTATATCTTTATCTGTCACTTATTTAAATGGAGTAATAAACGGTATTCCTAGCCTGCTCTTTCGCAGCAAATATAAAACAAGATTATTTTCTACGGAAAATAAATGTCTCTTCCTGGAACAAATACACTGAAACCGACCAAAGACAGCCTTCAGTTCATTGCTCAGTCCCAGCATTAGGGTTCTCTTTGCAACGCAATCAGTGCAATCTCTGCTCTCTCAATCCCCAGTTTTTTTACAGTCGAACTCTCGGAAACTGTGTTATACCATTGACCAACTGTATGGCCCAGACACTTACAGAACATTAACTCCTAGCACATTCGAGTCTGACGGCAGGGATTGCGGTTCTATACGTTTCTATATGGCTTAAGTACGAAGACACACGCACGGAATCCGATTAATAGTTTATGCGGTCTCCCCCTGCCTTTGGAGTCTGACACAGACGGTGCAGTTACTAACGGATGCGCAATAAACTGTGTGGGTCTGCAACAAACGGGGCTGTGCGGGGTAACTTCAGCACCACCGCGCGTTGGACAGCAGGCAAAAGTTCTGCCCTCGGCTTTCTGCACAGGCAGTCATCACCGCGTCCCCCCCGCCCCTCCGCCCCAAACCCAGCGCCTCACGAGCGTGGCTTTTACTGGCCCCGAAAATGACACGCACGAACTTGCGTGGATCAAGTCGGCTGTGCTATTCTAGCAGCACTTTGGGAGTCAGAAACCCGGATCGGGAAAGAGAGAGAGAGTGAGAGTGGGGAGGAGGAAGGGAGGCGAGGGGAACCGCATTCATTACCTGCCCATTCAGGAAGGGATACTGGTGCACAGCAGGGCGCTGATCTGGCGCAGAGGGCACTGACAGAGGCAAGAAAGGCTCGCAGGGGACTTGCCAGCCGGGAAGCCCCTGGAGCAGTGGAGCAGGGTGGGGAGGATGTGGCGAAGAGAGCAGAAGCGGAGGGGGCACCACCCCGGCCCCACCTATCCTGAAGAGCCCAGCTGCACTCGGGACCATCCAAATCCAGGGAGGCGGTGGGGGCTCTGCATTCATCTGCCAGAGGAGAGGCTGCTGCCGCTTGGCTCTCGGAACCGGGAGCATTCTACATGGTACGGTACCGTCCCTCCGCTCGCAGGGCTCGCCGCCGGGACGCGCAGGAGCAGGCAGCAGCGGGGCCGGGACCGGGACAGCTCCGCCGAGGGGGCGATGCCCATCCGTGCCCCCGCTCGCTCTGGCGGCAGGAGCAGTGGCGGCGGCGGCAGCACCAGAGCCGAGCGAAACTCCGCTCCATTCAGCGGAGCTGCTGCTGCCAGGCTCCGCCCTCTGCCCAGACCTCCCTCCCCTTCTGCTGATGCATAGCCCGGCAGGAGACACCTACGGGGGAGGGGGTAGGGGGGCAGCAGCTGGTGGCAGGTCTCAGCCAACGTCGCCACCAACTCCCTCCCCCCTCTGTGAGCAGACGGAAGGACGGCCCCGGGCAGCGGGGCAGCCGCTCAGGTCGGGGGGGGGGGGGGTGAAGGAAAGGGGGAGATGTGTAAAGGAGGGGAGCTGGGCTAACAGGCGAGGAGCGGGAGGGGAGAGACCTCCCGAGGGCCCCTGCCTAAGAGGGGTGGAGGGAGAGCCCGCTTCTCTGGCTTGGGAGGCAGCAGCAGGGGGAGAAGGGGCTGAAGGGGAGGCCCGGCTCCCAGCTCTAACAGAAGCCCCCATCCCACACACACAACTAACCCGGCTGAGGGTGCCCCTAGGGGAGACCGCTGGGCACTCAGTCCTTTCCACCGTCAGCTCCCCAGAGAAGAGGACGCGAGCGGAGCGAGGCCCCTGCTCCCAGAAGCTGTCTCCAAGACACCGCTCTCAGGCACTGAGCAAAGGGGCTTTCCACCGTGCCCACCAGAGCGCCCTGGCTGATCATCAACCCAGGAAAAGGGTGACAGGTAAAGCTGGTGGAAAGTCAGAATTTCCCTTTCACAGAAATAGCCACGTTTCAAAATGTGTTTTCATTTCATTCCAGAGAAAGAAAAACAACAAAACTTCAAACATCAGCGTAAGTTCAAGATTTCCGGGGCGGGGGGCATAACAAAAATTGTTGGGGGTCAACGGCAGTGTTTTGTCTCACCCAAATTGAAATGTTTTGTTCTGATTTTGACTTTACACGATATATTACGTAAGGTTTAAGAAGATTTGGCCGAAATCATTTCAGAACTTGAAAAATGCCATCCTGAAATGGAACATTTTGCCTTTATAAAAAAAAATCAAAATTAAATTAAACAAAAAAATTGCCAAATTTCCAAGAAATGGTTTGATGAAACAGCATTTTCCCACTGGAAAACAAAACGGACACAACAAAACCTTCCACTGGAAAATTTCCAGCCAGCTCTAGTTATAGGTAGTCTGGGTTTGATGCAGGGATTTTCTCACTTAACACCCTTGCTTATAATTTTCTATGCAAGTGCTAAGTTCCTGGGGGACTGGACACTGCTACAAGACACTGAACATTTTTACCAGCAAAGGCCTGATCTTAAAAACTCTTATCCACAGTTACAGATGGAGGCAGTGCACCCAGTGGCTAGGACATTGGATGGGGATTCAGGATTCCCAGGTTTTAGTAGTGGCTCTGCCACTGACCTGCCACAGACACTTCACCTCTTTAACCATTTTCCCCTCTATGTGTCTGTCTATTTAGACTACACACTTTTTGAGACAGGGACTGTCTCTTACTTTGTGCGTGTAGCACCAAGAACAATGGGACAATATACAACCATAATACAAATCAAATAAAAAAGACACAGCAAACAGGCCAAGAACTAAGTTTTCACTACTAATGTACAGTGCCTTTGAAGAAATTCAGGAAACATTACAATAGAAAGCAAAGATAACCTGGCCCCTAGAGTGTGTCCAAGTTTGGGCTGAGGTACTTTAGATAGCACTGTAGGGAAGGCACCTGTGTGAGGACAAGTCTTCAGTATCCTAGAGAGGCCTACCTCTTCTAATAAAATGAACAATGGGAAATTTCTCCTTCCTATCAGAAACATGCAGGAAAGAGCTTAGGGCTGGTGAAGATTCCTTCAGATCTTCCATTCCATGAGTCTGAGTCTGAATCTCCCTGCTCCCCTCTCCCTCCATTATCTTCCTTGCAGAAGATAGTTAGTCCCCAGAAGTCACATACATCAGGGAATTTGTCAAAGGCACAGGACCATCTACACAGGCCCAGAGTCATGGCAGCTCCAGAGCACCCCTGCCTTCCACCTTACCCCTACCTCTTCTGTCCCCTTCTCTACACAAAAGTGAATACATCCTCATGCTATATTAATGTTTTCATAATTTTTTTCCACTGATGAGAAAATAATGCACGTCCAACTTCCCTTGCTCCCCTAGCCTCAACCTTCAGAAGGCAGAAGTACAATGCAGATGGAGAAGGATGCTGTAAAGGCAATTTAGACCCCATAGAGAGAGAAGGGAAGATCTGAACAGAGAGGGTCCTCTCCATACATAGAAGGGGGAGTGTGGTCCGACACCCAAATAATGTATATAGTCCCATAAAAATCAGGAGTTTCATTTAAAAAAAAAACAACAACAACCACCCACAACCACCACCCAGAAGCATTCCAAACTCTCAGCCATGTTCTCTTATATGGGTCTATTTTCCGATCATTAGTACATATATCACCCCCCATGAATATTATTCTCTTCTTCATACAAGTGAGCAACTCCCACTATAGACAAATGTATCAAGAGTTTAACTGTCAAAGAAATGCACTTTCAGCAGCATGTTCGGTGCACCACCGACCTCTATTGGCACTATCAGTTAAAAACACCTAAGTGTACTCCCACTATTCTATATCCATGGCCACTAGTTATTCAGACTTATCTGCAATGTTTTTCCAAAGGATAAAGGATGGTTTCTACATTATACTGCTAACAAAATTATTTGTTGCATATTTTAAAATTGAACTGTCAAGATAAACACATGAAAATGTCAGATATTCTGTGGTCACATTTAAAGCTCTGATAATTTAAAGGTGGTGGGGGAGGCTTGATAAATTTTAGTGTGATGATTTAATCGGGGGTTAAGAAAGAGTGAGCGTGAAAGTGTGTATGCGCATGGAGGGGGAAACCAGAGTTCCTCTTCTTCTGCTAAAAGCAGAGAGGAGCATTCTCTCTCTAGCTCTCTCTCCTCCTTGGCTTGGGCAAGCACCTCTCCTCCACAGCACCTCTTCCTCTCTGGTGGGTGCAGTGAAAGCTCAACCTCCTGTTTCCATCTACTTTAATCACTAGATTTTTTGCTGCTCACTCATTTAAGTTAACTGGCTGCTCTTTCCCTGCTAGGCATAAGCTAAGCACATAGTAAGGGTCAGGAAGGTATTTCCCTCCCTTGCTCCCTCTCACCCCCAGCAGTGTGTAATACACTAGCTTTTTTGTCTCCCTTTAAATATAGACACCAACCACTGCTGGAAGGATACTAAATAGACAAGTGTTCTGACTAGCTAATGTCATCACAGCTTCCAACATCTCTAACCAAATAAATAAGTAAATAAAAGGAATTATTAAAATGAATTGTACTTGCATTTATACAAATGCATAAAGTCTTGGAAATTTGAAAAAAATTGACTTTAGAAGTCACTGCATACATTTCCCTGCCAAATGTCCAGTGTTGTTCCTATTTTCTTTTTCACACTGACAATCATACGGCAAAGTGCGGAGTAGGAGAAAAGAACCCATTATCGCTAATCTTATTTTTGTAGTCGCTTAATTCCCAAAATGTGAAAAAGTAATAATACTATTTAGCTCTTTTTCAACAAATCTTTGCTGTTATCTTAACACAAATAGCAAGAGACATGTTAAGCCTGTACACAAGAAAGTCAGGGATAATAAAAAAATAATTTCTTCCCCCCCAACTTCTCCATTTTATTCACTGTGAAAAAGTTTGCTCTCCGAGTCCATAGAATAACCCTGAAGAAGTTTCAATGGCAAATATGAATCAAGAAAAATATTTTCCATATTTTTCTTCATGTTTGCTTATAATTATATGCTGATAGAGAGGAGTACTGGGAAATACAGATTTGAATAATCTGAATTCTGACAAATAACATTTAACATTTAAATATTTAGTGCCAGCGTTATTTTTTGTACACATACCACTCCACATTTCATATTAGCATCCCACATTGAGCTCAGAACCAGAAAAAGCAGTAGACCTAGGAGGTCTGAATCCAGCATTTCAGGCTCTTTCACTCACAAGGTGTTCAGCATTACATTGAAATAGCAGGTAAAGAGCTTGGTTAGTAGTAAATGTTGTAAAATAGCTGTGATTTTGGGTGGGGGGGATAGACATTGTGCATATTTTTTTTTAAGAGGCACTCACTCTTCCTCTTTGTTTGCATCTTTTGGGTTAGTGTAAGATAATTATAAGGTCCTCAAGGTTTCAAGTGATCTTTAATAAAAAAGATAAGTACATAGAGTTGTGGATAGCACAAGTTATTTTCTCCCATAAACAACAAAAGTTGAAAAGAACCATAGTTCTCTTTGAACATATTTCTCTCTTATGCTCCGGGGAGAGTTTGTTTCTGCTGAGGATTTTTTCTATTTGAAAAGGATGCTGTTCAACTCCTAATTGTGGGTATTTGTTTTTTATCTCACAGATCCACATTTTTTCTTAAAAATAATCACGAGGGAGTCCAAGATTATCTATAGCAAAATCAGATACTAATCATCAAAAACAATTTTATTATTCAGATGGCCAGAGGACACCTACAAATAAACCAAAGTCATAAGGCTAGGTATTCCATTGCAGCCAAAATATTTCATTGCAGCTGGGGGACTGGGGCAAGGATTTTCCCACCTTTGTGCTCTCCTGATTCTAGCAATAGCCAAGCACCAGTCTGATCCTTGATATATCATGACGTTTATCTATGGTGTGACCAGCAACCCATGGGCCAAAGGGCTATTCCATTACCCAATTGATGGTGTACAGGATGCCTCAGCCACCCTGCTTTTTTTCTGGGAATGCTCCTTATGCCTGGAGTGATGGAGGAAACAGTTGTATAGAGCTATTCCAGCTCTGCCCCTCCCAAGGATTAGCCTTACAAAAGATGAATCCTCAGATAGCCAGGTCAAATGATAGCCAGAATGAACACTGCAAGGAATCCAATCTATAGTCCTGGTTAGAAAAAAAACACAAAACTCTTTCCCTGTACCATTTATGTTCATAGGAGTGTCAAAGGGCATACCTACTCTGCAATACCCGCTGCTAGCCAGCATGGCTCTACTGAGGCCTGCCTTAGTTTCCCATTCACTTTGGGCCCCTTGAAAGGTCCACAGAGTCCAGATGTTCAAAACATTCCCCCATCTGGGGTCCAGTTTACTAAGGCTTTCCCCAAAGTCTTTCAAAAGAATGCTCAGACTTACAAAGTCTTCATCCCAATTTCAGCTGGGACCTTCCTCCCTGAGGGTCTGTCCCCTCTTTAAGAGTTCATTTCTCTCACCCCACTCCCAAGCTGAGCACAGCTCCTCTTCTCTAAAGGTCTGTTTTGCCCTAGGAATTCAAACAAATGTTTGTCTGCTTCAGTGTCAAGTTAGGTACAGCCATTCCTCTGCAAGAGTCTGTGTCCTTGTTCTCCACCAGCCTACAGCTTAGCCTTCTCCACAGATCTTCCATGCTGCTGTCTTCTCCCTGCTAACTCATAGCTATGCAGGAGCCTTCTTTCTCCTTACAGTGTCTGCAGGCCTCTGCCAACACCCATTTGCAGCAAACTCCCTGCTTAACTAGGCCCAGGTGCCTTCCCTTAAACCCAGCTGATCAGTTTAATCAGTCCAGGTAAACTGGACCATGGCCCTTTGTAAAGAGGTCAGTAACATGTAACAGAGAGGTATAGTTAAGGTCCCGTGGCATCATGCTGAAAATGTGTATTCATACATATTTTGCCTTGCTCCTTACTACCTT